AGCTCCGAGGAGGGCGGCTGGCTGAGGACCGCGAGGGTGTGTTTGGAGCTCCGGGTAGCAGCCGGGTGATGCGCCCCGTCGGTCGGCGTCCAGCAGCTTCTGGGCGGAAGGCCCCGGAGAGGGCAGCTGCCAGAGGGAGTGTGTGTGTGGCGGGGTCGGGAGCTGAGGGTGACCCCGAGGCAGGTAGTCACTGCGGCAGCGGCGGTGGGGGCGGTTGCAGGCGGAGTTGGGGTCCGGGGAAGCCCTCCGGGAGCAGACTGCTCCTGTTGCCCTTTCGTAGGGGTTTAGGCTTGAGCCCAGTTGCTATGGTGACCGCTACGCTTCTAGCAGAAGCTCTCCGCTTGGATGTCGGGGTGGAGGGTGAGAGACGGGGGACTGTGCGGTTTAGAAACGCTCGGGGGTGAAGCTGAGGAATTTGCAAGTCAGATCTGTGAGTTCAACCTGGCTTATCCTGACTCCTATAAAACCTTGGGAGTTAGAGCCGAGATTACAAAGGCATTTGCATGAAAATCTCATATAATTTCAGTAGAAATTGTACACAGGAAAGGCAGGGTAAGCTGGCTTTTGTTGAAAAAATAATTGAGACAAATGGACTAATGGAGGCGATCAAGGACCTGATACCTAAATACGTATAGGAACACCTTTTTTTCTTCTTCTTCTTCTTCAAATAGTCAAGAATCGCAGCTTCAGGAAAAGTTTGCAAAGATGACGGCGTCCAGGAGTTTTCCTTGTTCCATGCATGCCGTTATATCTCAGAGTATTCGGTGTTTTAAATGTCCTCTACTGGCATTTCAACTACACTGTGTGTGTATATGTGTGTGTGTGTGTGTGTGTGTGTGTGTGTGAAATTCCTGTAAGGAAATAAATAAAATAACATGCGGTTTTTAAGTAGAAGAAAATAGGTCAGTTATAATATATAATATAAAAGTGTCACGCCATTCAAATCTGCCTCCAGGATAAAACTGATTTTTGTTTGCATTTTAATGAATGAATGAACGAAATCGGTCTTAATTAGTGGGAGATAATTCAAAAGGTACATTAATGAAATATTTAATAAACTTTGCTGACATTATTTAATGGCAGCTTCCTAGGTATATCTTATTTTATCTTATGAAAAAAAATCACCGCTTTCGTCCAGCTTATAATCAGTTGTAGAGATTTTCTGGACTCTCTTTCTTCTTTTTAGTTGCTTAGTACAGTTTTAGGTAATTTGCTTTTAAAGTACTCCAGATACAGAAGCAGTTAGAGCAGGTGTTACTTATTCCCTTTTCTCATCACACGCCCTTCTCCCCAGATGTAGGCACTCTGACAGGCACTTCCTTGATTTTCCTTATAGTTCTCCCCTCTTTGTATGTGAACATACACATTCTAGTTTGGCTTGCTTTTGAACTTTATATAAATGGAATTTTAGTAAGTATTTCTTTGCATTGTGTTCCTTTATTCGACATTTAAAAAAAAATTTATTAGGGAGCCATTGGTCAACATGAACGTATAGGTTTCAGGCGTGGGTTTCTGTTACAAGATCTGTGTATTGCACCATGTGCCCACTGTTAGAGTGGCCGAAGGAAGAATGCACGAGGCCGAAAGGGGTAAAGAATTATACATTTATTGTTAACATCTGCTAGCAGAAGAGCTGAGACCAAAATGGCATCAGTGGGGCAGGGTAGGGGGAGCAGGATATTTATGTCTCTTGTAAAGGTCAGACCAGGTGCAGGTGGGGGTCAGGTGTAGATGGTCCACTGGAAAGTGGGTGAGGCAGTTTACAGGAAACTGAAGGCTGTTAAGCATGAAACCTATAATGAGAATAACAGGAAAGTCACCGGGAGGGGCTCTTGCCAAGCCAGGCATCATGGAGCACAAGAATGCTTAGCACCCACCACCCAAAGTCAAACCTTCTCCTGTCGGCGTATACTGGGACCTCCTTCTCCCTCCACCGCCTTCCCTCCAGCAACGACCTCACTGCTGTTTATGTTCACAAGTGTCAATTTTATATCCCACATATGAGTGAAGTCAGCTTTTTCCGACTTATTCGTTTAGCATAATGTTCTCAAGGTCCATTTATGTTGTTGCAACTGGTGCTATTTCATCCTTTTCTTATGGCTGAGTAGCATTCCATTGTGTATATGTACCACGTCTTTCTCCACTCCTCTATCGCAGGACACTTTGGTTGTTTCCATGTCTTGGCTACAGTGAATAATACTGCAATGAACTTAAGGGTGCATATATCTTTGCGCATACATGATTTTGAGGTTTTGGGGTATATACCCAGGAGAGGAATTGCTGGGTCGTATGGTAGCTCTATTCTCAATTTTTTGAGGAATGGCCAGACTGCTTTCGGTAGTGGTTGTACCAGTCTACATTCCCACCAGCAGTGAATGAGGGTTCACTTTTTTCCACAACTTCGCCAACACTTGTTAGTGCTTGTCTTATTGATAATGGCTAATCTAGCAGGTGTGAGGTGGTATCCATTGTAGTTTTGATTTGCATTTCCCTAATTGTCACTGAGGTTGAACATACTTTTATATATCTACTAGAGGCCCGGTGCACAGATTCGTGCACCAGTGAGGTTCTTTGGCCTGGCCTGCGGGGATCAGGCCAAAATGAGCTCTCCAACATCCCTTGAGGGGTTCCAGATTGCAAGAGGGTGCAGGCCAGGCCGAGGGACCCCACTGGTGCACGATTGGGGCTGGGGAGGGACTATGGGAGTTTGGCCGTCCGGGGAGGGACTGCAGGAGGGCTCCAGGGTGTGTCCGGCCCATCTCACCCAGTCCCAATTGGCCGGACCCCAGCAGCAAGCTAACCTACCGGTCGGAGCATCTGTCCCCTGGTGGTCAGTGCACGTCATAGTGACTGGTCGAACAGTCGAATGAACGGTCGGACACATAGCATATTAGGCTTTTATTATATTGGATTGGCTGTTCATATGTCTTCTTGGGAGAGGTGTATATTTTTAGCTCCTCTGCCCATTTTTTGATTGGGTTGTTTGTTAGGTATTGAGTTTTATTAGTTCTTTATATATTTTGGAAATTAAACCTTTGTCAGAGCTACTATTTGCAAATATCATCTCCATCTGGTGGGCTGCCTCTTTGTTTTGTTGTCAGTTTCTTTGGCTGTGCAGAAGATTTTTAGTTTAATATAGTCCCATTCATTTATTTTTGCCTTTACTTCCCTTGCTTTTGGGGTCAAGTTCATAAAATGTTCTCTATGACCAAGGTCCATAGGTTTGGTATTTATATTTTCTTCTCTGTAACTTATTATTTGGGTCTTATATTTAGGCCTTTGATGCATTTTGAATTAATTTTTGTACACGGGGACAAACTGTAATCCAGTTTCATTCGTTTGCATATGGCCTTCCAGTTTTCCCAGCACCATTTACGTACTTATTTTTAATTTTTAAAAAATATTTTTATTGATTTCACAGAAAAAGGGAGAGGGAGAGAGAGAAAACATCAGTGATGAGAGAGAATCAACCATTGGCTGCCTCCTGCATGCCCCACACTGCAACCCAGACATATGCCCTGACCTGGAATCAAACTGCAACCTCCTGGTTCATAGGTCAATGTTCAGCCATTGAGCTACATAAGCTGGGCGCCAGCACCATTTACTGAAGCAACTATCTTTACTCCATTGTGTGTCTGGCTAAATGAATATTGTATCTTATCAAATGCTTTTTCTGCATCTATTGATAAGATCATCTGTTTTATATCCTTCCTTTTGTTAATGTGGTATATTACACTGATTGGTCTGCATATGTTGAACCACTCTTGTGCCCCTGGAATGAACCCCATTTCTCCATAAATATTGTGTCAATTTACGCTGCCACCAGTGATATATAAGAATGCTAAGTATATCCAACTATTTTATCTTTGCCAATGTGATGATTAAAAAATAGTATTCAGTGTTGTTTTAATTTGTATTCTTCTAAATGGTGAGATTGAATATTTTAAAATCTATTTAAAATCCATATATATGAAATATACATATTTTGCCAATTTTTCTACTAGGGTATTTCTTTTCCTTTTTTATTTATAGGAATTATTTATATATTAGGGAAGTCAGCCCTTTGTGATATGGGTAGCAAACATTTTTGTTCATATCCCAAAGCAACAATAAATAGGTGGTGAACGGTGACCATATTGGAAAACACAGGCCTAGCGGTAGACTCCTTAATTTGCTGCTGACCCAGTGTTTCCTTAGTAGAGTGATTAACAAGAGGATGGGATGGGGAATGTATTTATTTAAAGGCATGTTTAATATTATAGTTTTATATTTGAAAAACACAAAAAAAGTTTTATAAGAAAATTTTAAGAAAGTAAAGCTTGCTGAAATCTTCTTTGCTGGTGTGACAAGGTTAAAAACAATGGAAAATGTATCCAAAAATGTTGTTAATTTTCAAAACTTGTGAGAAATCACAAAGCTGTTTTTATTATCATTATTATTTTTACATTAAAATATATTTTATTTATTTTAATCTCTATTGTTGAAAGTAATTCATGTCCCCCCTTTCCCCCCTCTTCTAGACTGCCCCTGTCCCCCGCCCCAGGCCTTCCTTGACTGAATGCCTCAGTATTATGCCCATTCTTTCCACTAGGTTACCAACGAAGAACATGATTTCGGTCTAGGGACTCCAGTTTCTGAAACTGTAAAACACCAGAATACTCTCCACTTGAACAAGAAGTCAGAAATCAAGATAAATTCATCTCTACACTGAAATTACAGGTTACACTTAATTTATATATGTATTTCTCAGAATTAATTTGGACTCGGGTGTGTTTTAAATTAAGGAGATGGAGAATAAATATTAATTCAGTGCTGGTTTTATGGTATTTTTTTATGGGTCTAAAATAATTTCATTTTTATCGTAACCATTTTGACACACATAGATTCAGAGTCAGTGAGTGCAAACTATGTGCCCAGTGTTATATTAGGTGCTTTCAAGTACATAATCTTACTTCATCCCAGCCTTGTGAAACAGTGATGCTACTTCTATTTTTACAGACATGGAAGCTGAAGTTCCAAGAGGTTAAAGAATTATGATACTGGGCTAATGAGTGATAGAGCTAGGATTCCTCTGAACTTCCCAGTTAGCTAGGATTCGAACCCAGTTCTCTGAACTGCAAGTTCAGTATTGTTTCTACTCTCCTGGCGCCTGATCTGTGGTGTAGCTCTTAATACATGCCATTTAAGGAAACGGCCTCTTCTAGGAAGAAAGAGTAGACTTACTTTTCCCTATTTTCCCTACTAAGTACAGCTAAAAAACCCTGAACATTATGCATAAAACAAACATAGGACAGTGAGAGGTGAGAAGAAGGAAGTCGAGTCAGGGACCTCAACACACAGTGAATGACACATTCGTGAGTTCCTGGATTTTTCTATTTGCTCCATATATTCCAGACAGAGTGCTGGAGAAACTGGCACTCAAAACCATAGGTGAAGACAAAGAAGGATATCAGAAAAGCTGTCTTTTTTTTTAGCCAAAGGACTCGGAAAGGGACAGCCTAGCAAGGCAGACTACTTTTAGACAATAACTGCCTGCCCTAAGCAGCACAATGGAAAAAACGATTCCTGCCAGCAAGGGCTAAGATAAGAGCCTAGACTTCTACCCTTGCCAGGCTGCGGTAAGGAGCTCCAGCTGCACCTCGTAGTCCTCCCCAAGCCCTGCCAACTTCTCCATCCCGACAAGGTGGTATCAAAGAAGAAGGCTGAGTTGAGAGCTAAAACTTTTGTGCCTACAAGGCAGTAAGGGCAGTTCTTAACTCTCTACTGCCAGTGGAAACGACCTGGGGAGCCTGCACATCAACCCCCAACTGGTAGTACGAGGTGGCCCCTTTCCTCCTGGCTGGAGTGGAGTCAGAGGAGACATAATGCAGAGTTAGGGCTTTTACCATGACCCAGTAGTAACAAGCTCACCCACCCACAGTGGCTGTGGAGGACTCGTCAGAGCAGTAACGAGGCATCCCTGTTCTTCCTGCTGTTGTGGTATCAGCAGAGGCCTAGTGAGGAGCCTGAACTTCCATCCCTGCCTCGCAGTAACAAGGGCCTCACCTTTCCTAGGTGTCCCTGAAAGCCTCGGGTAGAAATTGGACTGCCATCCCACCCAGCGGGATCAAGGCAGTGTCTCTCTTTTCTAGCTGAGCAGTGTCCCAGGAAGCTTACTAAAACACAAGAGCCAGTTGTGGAAACAACTCAGTGATTCTTCAGTAAGTGAATGGATAAACTGTGGTACATCCATGCAATGGGGCTATAAAAATAAATGAGTTATCAAGCCACAGAAAGATGTAAAGGAACCTTGAAAGCATATTGCTCGGTGAAAAAAGCCAACATGAAAAGGTTACATACCCTGTGATTCCAACTTCCTGACCTAGAAAAGGTCTCTATGTTTTATCTCGTAGGTCTTTGCTGAGATTTTCTGTTTTGTGTGTGTGTGCCTGAGGCATGCCCCAAATTACTTGCTGTAGCATTTATAAGATGGCCGATTTAAAAGCCTTGTCAGATAAGTGTAATACCTAATTCATCTCTGTGTTGGCATATCTTGATTGTCTTTTCTCATTGAAATTGAGATCTTCCAGATTCTTGGGATGAGGAATGATTTTATTTAAATTGAAACCTGCTAGCTTAAGGCTCTGGCTCTTGTCCTAAGGGACCTTGGAGACAGCCCTTTCCAGTGGACACTCATGTCTGACCGCATGCTGTTCCCAACCTATATGGTGCTTTTGGAAAGCCCCAGGCCACAGTGACCAGGGTGCATATTGGCCAAGTCATGTCCATCATCACCACGCTGCAGAATAAGGAGCATGTGAACGAGGCCCTCCCCAGGGCCAAGGTAAAGTCCACATCTCCAAGAAGTGAGGCTTTACTAAATTTAATGTGGATAAATTTGAATACAATTAGATGAGGGACTTGCAATTTTAGATGCTTCTTAAAGACCGAGACTTTTTTCTTTCATATTTTTACATCTTCCAGAGAGTACTAAAACAGTGCATTGAATATAGCAGGTGCTCAAGAAATGTTTGTTAAATACACAGTGAGAGGCAAATACTATAGAGAAGGATCTCTGTGCCATTACTTTATCTCATAGGTATTTCTTTTATGGCACTTAACGTATTTTATTGGTGTTTTCCCAAGTAAACAATAAATTCTCTGAAGGCAGATACCTAACCTGGCTTTGTATCTTTGGAATTTAGCATAGTTCCTGACATATAATCATTGTTCAGTGGGTCTAATACATACATTTTTCCCCTTAAATGCGTTTGAATGTCTTTGCGATAGAAAGGTCTTTTCTTCATTCCTTGACGGTTTGATAGTGGGCTGGAAAGGAAATTTGTGATCTTCCGCATTAGTCACAAATATTTGATTGATTTGGTATTTAGCTTAGTCAAGTAAGTTATTGATGCGTTCAAAAGGACTTTTGTAAACAGTTATCATATTTAGGTAACAACAGAAATTTAGTTATAAGGAAGGCCTAATTGATGATACTAATTATTAAAATGAAATAATCTTAAGACCATGGTTTCTTTTCTTACAGATATAAATATTTTACAATTTTTCTAATAGCTTGGTTAAAAATCAAAAGTAATTAAGTTCTTTTTTTTTCTTCAGACAGGGAAAATATTCACATGGCACAAAATTTATAAAGCAAAAAAAGATAGATAGTTCAGTCTCCTTGCCAGGGAAGCAAACCTACCTTTCTGGTTCCAGTCACCTGGTTGTTCTCAGAGGGGAAGCTAAGGAAATATTTTAATATGATTATTTTCTTTATAATGATAACAGATTGAAGATCTCAGACAGACAAATCATGGTTTGGAAGATATGTTAGCAAACTCTTGGATAGTGAGGAGGTGGTAAGCAGTCAAATAGACAATTTAACGAGCCACAATGAGCATCTTTGTAAAGAGTTGATTAGAATTGACCAACTAGCAGAGCAACTAGAAAAAGAGAAAAGTTTTGTGGTGGGTACCCTCAACAAGGAAGCTGAAGAAGCAAAGGTATTAGATTTACCACTGATAGGTTTAAAAAATTAATGTATAATTGACATGTAACATTATATTAGTTTTAGGTATACAACATAATGATTACATATATATATTAGAGGCCTGTTGCATGAAGATATTCGTGCAATAGGCCTTCTCTTCCCTTGGCTGCTGGCACCAGTTTTCCTCTGGCACCCGGGACCCAGGCCTTCA